GCTTAATATTGCCGATAATATCGGCCGGCATTTCGTTTGATATCATTTTCAGCATCAGTTCAATCATAAACTCGTCGGTCGACTGTTCGCTATACAGGGCGTCGGCGTTCATCACGTCGACGATCACTGCCCGACCGGCCATTCCCTTCAGCAGCAGTTTAGTGCACACGTGGGCCGTATCTAAATAGCCCACCACATCGTAGCCGCCCTCATTGCCCCTCTCCAGGCCCGCCAACACCTCTACGTAATACTTGGCCACCGCGTCCAGAGTGGACAGTTGGCTCACCTCTCGGGTCCAATTCAGGCCAATCACCGGCCGGTCTAGTTTGGCGGCAAACTCCTCTACCATCGAAAAGTTTAGCACAAGCGTAGGCATAAAATATATGGCACGGCCCTCCCGGTGCCCGTTTAGCCACACCCACGGCTCGGTGGGCATGGTAAATTTCTGGCGCAAAATGTGCGTGCGCAATCGTTTACGTTCGTCAAGAAATTTTATTATGTGATCGCGACGGCCCGACTCGTACTCTTTGAACGCACCCACTGTTAGGGACTTGATTTGATTGATTGTTACCGTAATGTTCAGTGTTTTCTCAAACTCCTGTTGCACTTCCGACCCAAACATCGACTCGAGCCCTATCTCGCCGAGTGTTACCCTATCGGGCGTTGTGTTTGGGTCGACGCCCATCACTCGCCACAGTTCGGCCACCAGTCGGGTCTTTTTGGTGCCCGTGCCAAACGATTTAGCTAGATCTTTTTTGAGCTACACATTTGTTTAGGGGAGATCTAATTAATAACTTATTTTAATGAATTTGTAATTATAATGTCCTTCACTGTAATGATTAACAAAACTAATTATAGTATTAAATCTACAAATATCCATATAAAAGGGGAATCAATAAAAAATAGATTTGCTTACTTTTGCGATTAATCGGGAACGACTAAGCCCAATTTATTATATTTGTATAAATAAATTTGTATTATATAATTATACTAAGATGCAATCATTACAGTTTGTAAGATTATAATTTGTGTATTGAAAACATATTTTAAAAATGTAATTACATTACAGTAAACTGTATTTTCCTCTCCTATTAAATAATGTTTATACAAAATTACTTACAAAGGATGTGACAATCGGGTGCTTTGCGGCCAACAGTTTGTCCAACACATCCAAACACGAGTGGATGCGTTGCTTCTGTACCGTAATATCGCCCACAGAGAAGTCCACGTCGGCGGCCACCCCTACGTCCCCCACCGGGCCGTACTGTACGGCCAACCCGTGCATACCATCCCTCCGCCGGAGTTCGCACACCCGTTCGCACCGCGAGTTTCCGTACCCGTAGTTGCATTGACCGGCGTTTCCCTTACCGGCGCTCACCGACGAAAACACCACAAAATAGTCCACTTTATAGCCTAACCCGCGGGTCAGTTGATCCAAATTTTCAAACACCCGGTGTTTAGTGTCCGACGTCTCGGCGAACCTCTCGGGCGTCATATTCTCGGCCAACGAGTCGTTTAATACGAGCGCCAAATGAAATACGCCTCCAATGGGTCCCAACCTTTCCGCCTCCCGGAGCATCTCTCGCGTGCCCTCCAGTGTCAGCGCATTGGCCGTCGATATAAACATATCGCTCGCGAAGTACTTGTAGTCCGCGAAGTGTTGTCGAAATAAACCGGTGATGAACTTCTGGTAATTGGTTTTGGGGCCGCACCGGGAGGTCAGCACAAACTTACGGGCGCCCCGGTATAGCATCCAGGGCAACAGCTCCAGGCCCACACCACCCAAACCCCCGGTGATTATGTACGACTTGTTGGGATCAAAATAGGTCTTTACGGTGACCATCATATCCCGGGCCGGACTGACCGGTGCGCCCATCGCTAATGGTTGCTTATCCGGCTCTTCGTCCCGGAGCTTAATCAACAGTTTGCCGGTGTGTTTACCAGTGGACATGTGTCGGAACGCCTGTTCGGCCTTACGGGGCTCGAACACAGTGTAGTTCAATGGCCGGACACAACCATCGGGGTGACAATTGCGATGCACCCAATCGAAAAACTCCAGGTAATACTGCCGGCGCTCAGTGAGCACCACATCCATCATACGGCATACCGGAGTCACACATCTACTCGTCACGTGACAAT